CACTTTATCAACACTATAGTTATGTAATGTAATGAACCAGTTTGTATTTACTTTTTATTGTTCCTAATATAATTTAAAACTACATTTATAATTAAATTAAACATTACAAAATAAAATTATCATAGGTATATTATTATTTTATATTTAGTATTTTTAAGTGCATTGAGCGACCTTGTAAAATTTTTTAAATTTTTTCGTACTTTTACAATATCACTTTTATTATAAATAGATAAAATTAAAAACATGAGAAAACTAAATAATTATTTAATTATGTACATACTTATAATATATTTGAATTGTTGTATAATTAACAATGAGTTGACGAATTTCAACAAAAATATAGTTAAACCATAGGCGCGTAACTAGGGGGGGACTTGGGGGGCTTAGTCCCGCCAGTATAAATTTTAGCCCCCCCAGTCATAATTCCTAGTCCCACACACCCACCAATATAGTAATATTTAAATTTAAAATATCGTTTTATTTCTTTTTATTAATATCTTGAAAAAATATTAATTTAAACTATATTATTGTATGTAATGATCGTGTGTAAGACGTATCATGTTGTGTAATTTTTACTACACAAATACTCCCTACTAAGAAGTTGGTCAATAAACTAAAAATCGTTAAATTCTTTATATCTAAAATAATACTTAATAATATGTTAATATATAAATATTTAACCTCAATACCACTTGGTTTATTATTTGTTTTATAATTAAATATTAATTTACATTCATATTACATGTATAATCAATGATTGTAAGGTGTTTTGGGGGTATGGGGGGCATAGCCTCCCACTTAATTTACTTATAATAAAAATTCTAGGGTTGAAGCCCCCCCTAATTTTAAGGTCTGGTTACGCCTATGAGTTAAACACAATAAATAAAACAATGCTGTCACTATAATGGTAATACGTATGTACTGGTTACCTAACCTACCGAAGTAATGAATTCTAATCTTCCTATTGGTAATTTTCCATTCCGCTATCAACGTTTTTTATTTTTAATATAGGTAATAATGTTATATCCTGTAGAATTACACATCATGTGTGATTCGCATTATTCAGTAGCACAACCAGGATTGATACTAGTTAATATTAGAAAGAATTGTATATTAGCTATATAGCTAAAAGTTAAACTCCAATTAAACGTCAATTATTAAAAATTATTATAAATTCTATCGAAATCAATTAATTTATTACATTTATACAGTTATCTTATTTTCTATTTAAAACAATTAAAACTAAAAACTCTAGCCGAAACTATTGACATTGTTTCATGATCTTTAAATTATTAGTGTATAAAAAGATATATTATATTTTACACGTTTATACTTGAAATTTTATACTTATATATTTACCAATATTAGCATGATATTGCAATAGTGCATAATTTGCATATTTATTTGTATAATATTAAGTAATTAATATTTATAATATTTTAAAAATCAATTACCGTGTCATTAGAATACCAGACATGATATTTAAACATTTTTCAAATTGTTTTTACGAAGGTTAATGTTATGATATTTTACTTACTTCGATGTTTAAGACAGGCCTTTCGATTGATTTAAATAGATATTTCATTGAAATATTATATTCAGTAAAATTAAAGTAACCAATTATATATTTGTACGTGGTAATATATTTTTTATATACAGCATTATTGTCCACGGATTTCCATAACTTAATACTATATAACCATCCTTGATATTGGCTTATCTTTTCATCGTCATTCCTCTATAGATGATATAATGAGATAAATTATTTAATTTAAAGTAGAAAATTTACGAATTAATTATAGTAACGTTTGTTAAATATTGTAGAGGTACTTACCTCTAATTAATATTTAACCAGACGTGGACTGGCTGGGATGCTGGGATGCTACAGCATCCTTTGCCTAAAAATATATTTGCCCCCATTGGTATAAATGTGCCTTAATTACTCTACTTATAATTAATTTGAATTTCGAAGGTATCAAGTTACAATACTCTAATTGTAGGTAGATCTATTATTTATAAAATATTAATAACAATCATAAATAATACATTTAAGTAACTACGTAGTAAGGAAATAGGTTAATCAGTTTGAGCAGTTAGTTTTATACATTACTTTATTAACCTATTCTTAACACAATGTAACATTGAGTTTTTATTTGATGGGCGGGGGGTAATAATTAAACATAATTTACTAACTTATTTAAAATGATAAGTTTGCTCTTTTAATTTGTGAGAGCCAAGTAGCCAACTGTCCCCTAATAACCCTCCTCAAATTCAGCCTATAATGTTTATGCTATAATTAATTCTGAGACCCACACAAATAGTTTCATTAATTGCTTAGTAATATACCAAAATCGGTGCACACGAATTGCGTACCAAAACAGGTATATGAACCTTTTAGAACGTGTTATATTAAATTTATATTTATTTTTTAATTCGTGTTACCTTATAAGTTAACATTTTTTTTTTAAGCTTTCCAGTGGTTTACAAATTTATTTTTGATTTTGATATTTTTAAATTTTTTTTTTAAAAAAAAAACAATAATAATAATCAAATTTTTATCATTAACATAATAATGTTTTATGAAAAATTGTTTTAAGTGGTTTGTACTTTTAGGCAGGAGCTATACATGGTGTATTTGCCGCGTTTCAAACACTGCGTATTCCGTGACGTTTATTAAAAATAAACCAATACGTTTTTAGTTCGACGGACCACGCAGCGGAATATGCGACTAGGTTTATCAGAGACCATACACACTTCTCATTTCCCAATCGATAAGTAACTATGGATTACAACCGAGACGCTATATTATAAGATAATATAGTATGCACATTACAGCATAGGTAATGTATAATATTAACACCACTGCAGTGAAATCAGATATAACATTACAAATAAAATTAGTGACATCAGAATTTAATTCTTACATTATTTCGGAGTGGTCTGCGATCATATGCACTGTGTTCAATATTAAATTTAATTATTGATAATATTATTAGTTAAAACTTTTTATTAAAATGTAAAATGAACTTATTATGTCAACAATGTTAAGTGAAAAAGGTAAAATATTAAAAGTCGTTAATGATTTTAAATTTGATTGTCACAAAAATTATTCTAATGGATATATTAGATGGAGGTGTACAAATAAAAACTGCAGACCTTTTTTACGAATAGATTTTGAAGATAAAATAAAGATTAGTTTCAGTAATTTAATTTTTCAATCACGATAAAATAAAAGTAAATATTCTGAATCGCCAAAAATTTAGTAATGGTTTAAAACTTATACTGATTATAGACGTATCAGAACGATCAAGTAAATTATTTCATACACAATTAAAAGAAGAAAACGTGCCCACACTAACATTAATTGATGTCACATATTATATAAAAAATAATATGCATTATGCACTTAAAACCAGTTACCCTCATTTACCAAATAATATCAATGAGGTTCATTCTATTTTAAACTACATATATAGAAATTAAAACTATAGACAACGAACAATTTGTACTATTTAATAACTCTGACAATGTGATAGTTATATTTTCATGTCAATCTAACCTGAGATTTTTTAGTAAAATAAGTGTATTTTACGTAGATGGTACTTTTGATTATTGTACTAAATTTTTCTGTCAGTTATTCACAATTCATGGATTACATAATGGTTTTTATAATCCACGTGTATTTTTTTTTATTAAAATATAAGCAAACATTAAGTTATTTTGAAGCATTTAAAACAATTAATCACGAAATCACCAAAATAAATCCCACATTAACTCCAAAAATAATTTACGTGGATTTTGAAAAAGCAATACATAATGCCATTAATAGAGTATGGCCAACTACCTTAATAAGAGGTTTTCAATTTCATCTCAGCTAATCTTGGTGGAGAAAAATACAAGAACTAGGCTTGGCTTCAGACTAAAACCTAAATAATGAAATAGGCAAGTACTTAACATTGACGTTTGGATTATCTTTCCTAGAACCACATGAGATTGGAGATTTATTTTCGTTTAAAATGTCTGCTATTTAACCAGACAAACACAAAACTATAGAATTTGCTTACTATTTAGTACAAAAAATACATAAGTGAAAATTTAATTTTCCTCCAGAATTGTGGGCAGAAAAAAGTTGTAGCTCACAAAGAACAACGAATACATGCGAATCTTTTCATTCGAAATTTAAAAAAATGTTTTGATTCTCCTCACCCGAATATATATAAATTTATAGACGTTTTAAAAAATGTGCAAACTAATACCACAATAATAAGAAGTACCTAGAAAAGCAGTAAGACAAAGAATACTATTTATAGAAAATAAAATTAAACAATTAAACAATAATGAGATTACAATTAAAGACTATGTTAATACATCAGCCAAAAATATAAATACAGAAAATGATATAATTATATTTTTAGAATTCAATTTTAATTTTTTTTTATAAATAAGAATGTTATTATGACTTATAATCTATATTATTATCATATTATTAAATTTAAATTTTTTTATATAACTTGACATATCTTTATTATGGAAATATCATTTTAGGAACCCCTTACAATATTTAACTGTAGATGAAAAGGTAACACGAAATGCATCTGGGACGCGATTCGTTCAAAAATATTCGTCTACCTGTTTTGGTAGGCAATTCGTGTGTACCCACCAAAATAAGAACCCGACCAAAATCGTGTATCCCTGTAATTGAAAAATTATACAATTACAGTCGGGTCTCGATAATCCGAACACAGGCTAATCCGAAAGACGCGGTAATCCGAACGGGCTTGAGTAATTACCTTATCGCTGTATGTAATATGTACGTATGTATGTATGTATTAATAAATAATATTTTCCGCTAATAAAATTTTTCGATTATGTTTGTAATCGCACATGTATGTCGTTTAGATATGAACGTCGATTACATACGTTCGTCAGTTGAGTGTCGTACTGCATAAAGATCGTTTTACACTGCGTATTGTAACATTTATTTGCGTATTTTTCTTAAAATGGATCCACGTAAGCATGTTACATTAAAATTACAAGATATGTTAAAAGTTATACAGTTAATTAACAAAGGGACCAGCTACAGTACTATCTCAAAACAATTTGGGATAGGTGTATCTACCATCAGTGATATTAAAAATAACAAGGAAAAAATAGAGAAGTTTGTCATTGAAACGGAAAATGGTCCAGGTAAGCGTAAAACATTGAAAAAACCAGAAAATCCAAATGTTGAAAGTGCGGTTTTTATGTGGTTTATCCAACAAAGACGTTTACACGTTCCAGTGAGTGGTGAAATGCTTTGTGAAAAAGCACGATCTTTTCACCGCCAATTCTCAAAAAATAACCATTCTTTTAATGCGTGCAAAGGTTGGTTAGACAATTTCAAAAAACGTCATGGGATAAGGCATCTCAAAATTTCTGGTGAAAAACTTTCGAGTAAAGTTGATTGCATCGAACCGTTCCAAAAATACTTTGAACAACTTGTCATACAAAAAAATTTTAAAGCAGAACAAATTTACAATGCCGACGAATCTGGATTGTTTTGGCGAATGTTGCCTGAACACACTTTAGTGTCATCTACAGAAAAAGCCGCTCCCGGTAGAAAGATTATGAAAGAAAGAGTCACTTTTATGCCTTGCACTAATGCGACGGGCAACCATAAACTTCGTTTACTTGTTGTAGGAAAGGCTCAAAAGCCTCGTGCATTGAAATCGGCTGCACTTCCTGTGTGCTACCGAGGGCAGAAGAATGCGTGGGTAACAAGAGATTTATTTTTAGATTGGTTCAACAATGAATTTGTTCTTAGCGTTCGTCGTCATCTTTCTTCAATCAATTTTCCTATGGAAGCTGTATTACTATTGGATAACTGCCCAGATCACCCATATGCAGATGAACTTCGCAATGAAGATGGCAACATTTTTGCGATGTTTCTTCCACCAAATACAACTGCTACGATTCAACCAATGGATTAGAATGTTATCCAAAACATAAAATTGAATTACCGAAAAACTTTACTTATGAATATTTTGGCGGATGAAGAAAACGGAGTTGACTTGGTAGCAGCTTTGAAAAAAACCAATCTTAAAGATGTCGTTTTAACTTGGCTAATTGTTAGTTATCTGTCTCGTCACATCTGATTAAAATGTCATGGAAAAATCTTAGTCCACAACTGGTGGATGTGAACGAAACCACTGAAGTTCAGGAGGGAAACATTATCCTTACTCCACTTTTAGCCAAGTTGGCTCCAAACAGCCATTACTGAGGATGAAATTTAGGGCTGCGATAAAGAGATACATCACCAGGAAATTTTAATTTATGATGAAATCATGCATGCCGTGAACAAAGAAGATATTAAGAAGGAAGAAGACGATGAATTTTTGCCCCCTTCAAAAATATCTGCTTCAGAAGTCACAAAAGCGTTAAATACGGCCATTCAGTGGGCTGAACAAAACGATGAAAGCTGCGAAGAACTAATGTTGCTTAGACGTTTGGGGCACAAGGCATACCAATCCATAATAGGAACAAAAAACAAAAAAAAAAATAAATCAATATTTTAAATAGTAAGGTTTATAATTATACTCATAATTATATTAATATTTTTATATATTCATTGTCTTTTGAAATTACAAGGTTTTACACGATTAATACAGATAAAAATAAAATTTCATAATATAAATTACAGTAAAATTGATGTTTTTTTTTAAGCCATAGGTAATCCGAACAAATCGCTAATCCAAATGACCCCTTTCCCCAATCACCTTCGGATTATCGAGACCCGACTGTATTTTGTTACGTTCTATATGTTAAATCCAAAACTTATCTTTCTTATATCAATATAACAAAACAATATTAATGTAATGATCAGTAAAAAGACGTCTCAAATATTATAATCTACAAATCGTTGTATAAACAAAATTATAAAAACGAATTGATTTAATTACATTATACAACTGCAATCTGTATAATAATAATAAATTATAGGGAAGTACCCGATTATGTTTTAAAATAATAATACTTATAAAAATTATTTTAAATTATCTAAGTTTGCAGTTATTTTGTTCTATTTATGTTCACGTCGCGTTGTCTCCTACGACAATAACGATTATTATATTATTTTTAGTCTGTATTTTATTAACCTGCAGATTAAATATTGTTTATTTATTACTTCTATAACATTGTCGTATTCTACGTGTCTCGTATTAATCGTATTATAATAAAATTATAAAAACAATGATAAAGACAACCCGACGACGACTGATGGGTAACTTTACTGACTTTAGTCTATGTCTATCTGACTATACAGACGCAGTATTGCGACTGCAATACCTATGCTGTTTTTGACTTTTGTTTTTTTGAGATTAAAATTTTTAAAGCACTATTCTATTCAACCAATTGTGGA